ATATATATATATGTATATCAATGAATGATGTATTATGCTCTTAGCTAGTCCCTGCACCGCCCCTCTCAGAAATCGACCAACCTATCATTCGAAATAACCGTGGCGACAAAGACTTAGACCTACTGCCTTCCAACAGGTCCAAGGTCTCAAAAGACTTGTAAGCTGAACCAGCATGGAATAACCATCTGTGGCTTGAGATCTCCAAGACGCAAAGAGAACAAAGAAGAGAGTAACTAAGGGTCCATTGGAAGGGTGAGCATGCATAGCCAGACCCCTTTGACCCCAGAGAACCTGTCGATTGAAACAACTATGGAACACATGCGTGTATCTCGTCACCTGTCTAGGTCACCCAGGCCTCTGAATCGAGACGGACATCTTCAGCTGAGATGTTAGCAGGCAGACTGAGAAGTACGGGTGAAGCTCCTTGTTGAAAAGCCAAAGAGACCACTTGAGGGGTTGCTGCCCCAGTTTGCAGGAAAAGAAACGTGAAACAATAGCCAAGCCAGTTGGCCAGCCGGGCACCGGTCCGTGGGACCCGTGCCCGGCTTGGCTGTGAAAGATGGCCTCTGCCCCACCGCCAAGCCCAACATCGGGCAAGGACCTCGGTCATCCCCTTCTTCGCGTGTTCATCTGGCTCCAAGTGCGGTGTTAAAGCACCGGCGCCAGCACCCGTAAGAGACGTTGGCTCTGCAGCGGACGAACTCCCAGAGCGTGAACGTGCCTCGGGCTCGACTGAAGACGACGGCAAAGGCCGAGGAAAAGAGCCGCATCCCTTGCACCCTTCATGTTCCGCTTCGCGCTCTTCGCATCTTGGCGCAAGTCGACCGCCATCTCTTCCATTCACAAGTTGACACATGGCCTAATTTTGAGCAGAAATGTTGACATTGAAGCTTTGGAAGTGCTCAAGAACTTGCCGGAGAGTGCGCTAGAGCTGCTAGTGCTCAAACTCGAAAACTGAGTACGAGCAGCAAGCACCACTTTCAGCCAAGCCGGGAACACGCTCTCAGTGGCCAATGCCATCAGAACGTCGGCCCTTGCGACGGAACGGTAGGCGACCCCCGCCTGCAGTGCTAGATAAGGTGCAACTCTACTGCTAGAGTGCTAGAAGCAGCCTACAGGGCCTACAGTCCCGGGCCTGTGGTGTTTTCTGCAAATGCATCCGTGGCATTGCCAGCAGTCATATCCAAGGACGACCATGACACATTGACGCGACCCCGAGGGCCAGCAGCAATAGCAGCACGGGTCTCGTTCGTCGAACTTTGCCCTGGGAGCTGGATTGGCCTCGGAGTGCTCCTCATCGTCTCCTTAAAGAGCTGAGAGAGGAAGAGCAGATTGGATGGAACAAGCCGAACATGCTTCCATCTCCACTCCCACCCCCCCCCCCACCTTCGAGCCCGGCATTTCCACAGACGCAACATCTGGCCACAGCTCTGGAGGGCTCCAGACTGTAAGCAGCCCGGCCCAAATCACCAGGCTTACCAGGATCACTGCCATGGTACCTCGAGGCGAACTGCAAGCGACAGGAGCTCGCATCACTCAAGATGCGCGTTTCCCAGCCTCGCCAAGACCTCCCTTTCACGCGGCGTCGTCCCGACGATCCAGGGGCTTCCAGGTCACTCGGTGAGGGTGCAGAGTCCCGAGAGCTGGGCGGAGCCTTCGGACGCAACAGGACAGCACAATGCCTTCCTTCACCTGACTGTCCCGCGGGCTCATGGTCTTGCTGTGGGGTTATGCCGTGCAACACGTCTCCAACCTAAGCTACAGCTAGAGCCTTTCTGCTCTCTCCCTGCACTCCAAGTGAACGCTTGTCCCGGCTCCTTCTCCCCACCTTTGTCTTTTCGTCTTGAGTTCGTATAAATTTTCGTATACTTCCGAACCCCAGCTCGCCAGCTTCGCCTCGTCAGGGCGTCGGAGCGTCAGTTGGCGTTTGGAAACTCACCGAGGAAACCTTTGTGCACCGCATAAAAGCGGATTCGGGCGAGGCTCCCTTTCAGAACGACCAGGGCACCGAAGCAAGCCTCGGACAACTGCGAGATCCACGCGCAACAGGCTCCCACAAGAACATCCGTGTGCGACACACCTACAAGAATGTCAGAGACTGCTCAAATCGCCGGTCTAAACCCAGCCCAGACAAGGCTTGAAGTTGTATGCTTGTGCTGACTGCACAGACGTACCAGCCCGTTCCCAGGTTTTTGCGACATCACTCACACCTCCAACAAGCAGTGCAAGCAGCCTCCTGTTTCGCTGCCCATCGAATTCCAGTGCCTGATACTGTTTGACTTCGATCTGCTGTCAGGTCCCTCGATGGCCGGCATGGTCGGCTTGCTCAGAATTTCAAACGAGCAACCACATACACCCCTGTCAGGTTTCCTTTGAAAAACTGCGTGACCTTTTTCATGCTGTGTTACAAGGGACAACGAGGTAGCCCTCCCCGTCCAAACAAGAAACGGAGGACTTCACAAAACCCCTGCATAAGTGAGCATCGCAGAGCTGCGGCTGCGGGCGTGCCTGCGCACCGGCTCGCATCTGACAGCCCGCTTGGCTTTCGGAGCCTTCGCTCCTTTCAAGTACAGCGGAGGCAGGAGCTTCAGCGAGAAAGGTCCCCCATCCTGCCTCTCAGCTCGGGCCGGGGGGCGAGATGAACGGGCCTGCGAACCGCAGAGGACCCTACTTCCTCTCTTGGGAGCCTCCCAGCTGAAGGCTCCTAAGGTGACGCCAGCTGCGGCTCCTTGAAGGCCGCCGCTTGGGCGGAAGCGTCGGGAGCATCCTGCAGGGCCTCCAGCAAAGCGTCCTCGCAGCGGCACCCGCAGCTGACCCGCTTTTCTCTGACTCCGACAAGCGAGCCGCGCCTCCTCGAAAAACTTCTCGAGAGCCGCATCGGCATCCTCGTCCATGGCATAAGGACTCGGTTACCTCACCATCGTGGGGATGAAGATACACGTCGGCTCCGCGGCTCTGATGCTGGTGTCGCCAAGCTTCCCAGACGCTTCCCTGTTTTTATTTCCGGCTTGCGCCGCTGCACTAAAGCTTAAGTAAGCAGCTTAAGCACAGGGGGAGAGTCAACCTGCACAACTGAACTCCATGCCTTTGTCCTGTTCTCCACCTCACTCTATTTGGCAGCTGAGCCAGAAGGAAGTGACGATTAGATGGACAAAAGCCCAAGCCTGCACACTTATCGCATCAGCCGCCGGAAGGCAAGGAAGCTGCGCCAGTGGTTTTTCACGGACTGCGACTCGACGCTGATCAGGCTCACATTTAAAAGAAAGCCCTGATTCAAAAGGGGGCTTTGCTTTAGGGTTCACGGGTTCACGTACCAATGGAACACCAGAAAACGCTCGGCTCGCGGCTGGAGCTGAGGTCTCTTCCGGGCTATGTACAAGGGCATCTGCAACAAAATCAGATACCTTTAAACTTTAAACTTTAAATTCAGCCGGTGTCTTGTTCTTGCGTGAGGTTTCTTGGCAGCATCTTTGTGCCGCCAGGGGGAGACTTTGTACACAAAACATCTTGAGTCACTTCGGCAGCTCCTCCTCGCTGGACTCCACGCCACTTCCGGCATCTGTGGAGAAGCCCGCCTTCGTGAGAGATTTGTAAAGAAGACTCGCACAGACGTGGGAGCTTCCGAAAATAAGGGGTAGCTAATTTTGGGGTCCTTATAATAAGGGTCCTACTATTTAGGGTACTGGTACTATGTTAGGGTCCCTATTTTCGGAAACCCCCATATAACATGACAAAGCCCCACAAGTGCACATGACACTTGGCTGCCTCGTGAATACCAATGCTTGTGGCGAAAACGCTTTCTGGCGGCGGCACTGCATTGGGACCGAACCACCTCATAGGAATCTCCCAGTGTGGCTTGCTTTGCCCTCACCCACGAAGAAACAAGGTCCTGGCTTGCTGAAGCCACGAGAATAGGCCCGAGGTTCCAGTTGGGAACTTGATGGCAGCTCCTGATGATGTGCTGCCATTCACTTCGGACAAGGCTCTATGCACTCGCTGACTCGACTCGGGACGTTGCGCCAGCCATCGCAGTGACCTCAAATTACAGCCAGCCCGCACGAGAGTCCTGGTCCGGTCAGCCAAAAACGGGACCCCCGCCGGGCTTCCGGCTGCTGGCAGTGAGTGCACAAAGTTTTGGTCCTGAGGCGACCGACATGCTTCATTGATGAAGGTGTCTGGAAAGGATTCGGATGGATGGCTCTGCGAGTTCGATGGCGTGTTGGAGGCAGGCATACTGCGCCTGACTTTTGACGACAACCAGAAGAACCACCAAACACCACCCTCCAGCCCTGTCGAGGCTCGAGTCCGTGGCGCAATCAATTTGTTGAGGGTTCCATTGGTAGAGCAAAGCTTAACACAAGCCGCTATAGGACCCAGAATGATTTACCATTTCGTGCATCTTTCGTGGAAGACTGAAGACGGATGAACAAACCTCAGACGGCCTGTGCTGGCAACACCATCGTCGACGGCATGCCAGGACATTGCTCCGACTTCTCCTGCTCACGGATCGGTTCACCAAACTGCAAAGCACAGCGGGACACATCCTGCCTCTAAGGGTCGGGGCCGCATTTCAAGGAGCTCCCGCCGCGAGTGCAACTCTGTCTTATGGCTGCTCATGCCCGCATTCCGCAGGGACACGGGCACTGGGATCGAGGTGAGAGGCTCCCATGCAGTTTGGCACTGTTGAGGGAAGCCAGACCCACTCAAGGCGTTCTCGTAGCTGGGAAGTCTTGGGCCGGGCATCAGCGACGTCGCCTCAGTCAAGCTGATGTCATGCGGATCGACATCCAAACTCAATCCTGTTCGTGCTTGCAGATGCATGGAATCAGAACGGCCAGCGGCAGAAGGTGAAACGTGGTGCTGGCCCACAGCTCATGACGGAAGGGCATTCACGCGGCTGCACGTCTCAAGGTTGACGGTATTCAGGCGTCTTGCATCGTTTTACCCCGTACGATGCGCTGCGCGAGAACCCAATCCTAGAAGTCCAGAAGGCATGTTTGTGCCAAAAGCTGAGTGGCGCACGTCCTGCATTACGCTTTTCTTTGAAGCCTCCGCAAACAGCTTCGTTCTGTTCGCAATGTCTGCCTTCCGGGAGCACATATCTTTCGTGACAGAGAATGCTGATTGATGACCACCAGCGCCAACAAAAAGTATGACGCGTCGACCAAGGCAAGTGCCAATGATGTAAACTCTGGCTGTGCCTGTCAGCAAGGCTTTCGGCCTTTGCTGGAGAATTGAGATCCAGCCAAGCCTCGTCAAAGTCAAAAGCCGCGTAGTCCCGGCTGCAGAAAGGCTCCGGAGGTCGCTGCGGCTCGTAACCTGAACAGCGGAACGTGCCAGTGCAGCAAAGCGCGATGTCGCAACGGGCACAATCCCGAGCCCTGGTGCTTGGCCTCCACTGTGCCGCTCTGAGCAGAAGGCCCATGGCCGCTTCGCAACCTGTCAGACTCTCTGCTCTGCTCTGTCTTCACTCGGCTCCTTCTCTTACTTTTCCAAGACATCTTTACATCTTCTTCTCATCTCGGCATCTCTCGTGGCGACGCGGGAGCACGAGCAGGCGTAGCGGTGCATGCAACAGTTGCATATCAGGCATCCTGGCACGGTGGCTTCTGTCACACCGATCGCTCGTGATGACTGCAAAACAATCTTGCGCTCGGAGCTTGGGATCCTCGGATTCCTGCGAGTCTCCAGTTGTTTCATGGTCCGAGCCACCGTCAACTGAGCCTCACTTTGCCGGCTTAGCCGTTACTTGAAGGGTCGGGAGTAAATAGGAAATAAGTGGACTTATAGGTAACCTAGAAGGGACTCCAACTAAGTGGGGTTCTGACACTTCTAAGTGCATAAAACGACTACTTACTAAGTCCCCCGACGCTCCAAGTAGCCTTCTCGCACTGACAGTCACCGCGAGGCCAGGTCCGGGGGATGGAAGCTTCGGAGTTAAAGACAACTCGAATTAACCTGAGGCCGAAGCCTCCGCAAGAGACCCCTCCTGACGACAGAGGCTCGATCGCCATGTCTCCAGGCTTGCTGCATGTCGCATCGGGCTCGCCCTTTTGTTCAGCTTTTCTGGGGATCTGCAGACAGCGCCAAGACATGCTCAACTTCGTTAACGGTAAATTGGGCTCGTGCTCTCTTTGCCTCTTCTCGCTCTGCATGTCGGAATAATGGACATCTGGCCTCGTTCCATGACGGATCTTCCCATTCTGTCCAGTCCTGCCAATCCTGCCAATCCTGCCAATCCTGCCAGTCCTGCCAGCCCTGCCAGCCCTGCCAGCTCCAGTTCGAGTCGTACTCCTCGTATCCCGGGTCGTGTCCCTGAGCAGACGGACCAGGAGCAGCCCGCGCAGCTGCAGCCGTGCCGTCGAAGTCATTGCCCTGGCGAGCAGTCTGAATCTGCGGGCAAGCTTGCCATCGCCCTGCCGCTTCACCCATCTCGTCTGTGCACCTTGAGCATCCGAAGTAGCTCAGCACCAGCACTGGCACCGGAGGATACCTGAAGCTGTAAATTACCCATGTCGCAAAATACTGTGCCTTGTGTCGCCAGCCTCAGCAACTCTCCGTTGTCGGCCATCTGAAGCGCAAACAGATGCAAAGCTTGTGAGCTGGGGCCTGCATCACAGCACATGCATTGGACTTCTTGTGGCAGACCCGTTGCGCCTTGAAGGTGTGGCCAAGGAAGGCGAGGATCCTCCGGCGCTGCAGCATCTTCGCTCCAGACTTTGCTTGCTCCGCTTTGCTTCGCTTCGCTCGGCCTTGCCAAGGGCCCTTGCTGGCCTCGGCCAGGCACCCACACAGATCCCGCAAACGAGCACCGGTCTCTTACCGTGCCTGCATCATGTCTCTGTTCGTGTATCCTGGCCCAGTCAACACCACTTCAGTTCTGTCCAGTGGACTTAGCTTTCAGGAGCTACCAGCGTGACACGAAGGAAACCAAACCGAGAGAGTTCGAGGAGTTGATGCCTTGCTTTGGTCAGAGAGGCAGAGGGGGAGCCCTAGGGCCGGGGGCATATTGCTCTGCAATGTAGACCCTGTGGTCTCCATGCACCCCTGTGTTCAAGGGGCTTCGTAGTAGGTCCCGACAATTAGGATGCCTACAGGCATGCTTCAAAGAGGAGAGTGATTGATTAGTCAGGGGGCTGACATGAAGCCGCCAAGCCATACGTCTGACTCACTCGAGCTCCCACTGAAATAACAGTCACGCTGACCAAGAAGTTCCCGCTCACGCGAATCACCGGAAAGGGACGTCCTCTCCCTCTCCGCGGTGTCTAGGCCTGGCAGCACAACCATGCACGAGAGGAGGGCAGACAAACCCAAGGCCCTCAAGTGCCTGAGAGCTCGCCATCTTCGCACCAAGATGGAAGTGTCGGCCGAGTTCTGCTGTTTTTGCTGCTAACCTCTTGTTGAGGGACGAGCACAGAGGACTTCAAGAGCCAAGAAATGTACTGCATAATGCTCGGGCAGTGCCGCTTCTACTGCGAGGCTCGAAAGACGTCTGCTGACTCCTGAAGTGTTTGACATGCGCACGAGCAATCGCGGTTTGGATGCTCTCGGTGAAACCTCCGATGCACCTGCACCACTACCCGTTCTTACGTTGCAAAACACACTTGAGACATCTTCGGGTTCATGGGTAGTTCTGCATGTGCTGACAGTGACTATGCCTCCTGCCGCAGCAGCGGGAGCGAGGGAGGCAGCCCTACAGACGAGACATTGGGGCCCTGCGAGTTAGAGTTCGCACGCCTTGCATCACGAGAAGCCGTTCCTGTGCTCGCACTTCGAGGAGTCGTTCGCGGGGATGGCCCTCGAACCAAGCCACCACTGCTGGCAGAGCTGATGCTACCAGAGGAGCAGCCGAAGCGCTTCTGATTCTCCTTTCCCCGATTCTCGGCTTTCTCTCTTCCGCCCGGAGCACCGGCACCCCCAGAGGATGCACTTACAGGCTTTCGAAGGCCTGGAGCGCTCATTGTGCCACGTCCATAGCCGCTGCCGCTCCGGCGCTTGGACGGACCGGCTGGACCTGCTGGACCTGCCACTGAAACATCTCGGAAAGGGAGGGAAAGCACAGATCATAGAACAGAATGGAAGAGTTTCGTCAGGTGCCTTGGGGGTCAGGGCTGGTCGGGCTCGGAGCCGGCTCTTTCGAACCCGACACAGCCGCAGATGCATTGGCGGTGCTTCCAAGTGAGGCCTGCGCCTGCAGCGATGCCACGTATCCGTCTTCGGTTTCGGTGCCGTGACGGCCCGGCCTCGTTCAACGAGGTCTCCTTCAAGTGGGAGCTCAGATCTTCGATGAGAGCACCTGCATGGCAAAAGTGCTGACAAACTTCGGCTGGCCCGGTGGGAAGTGGGCCCTTGGGCCCGCACTCTGGCTCTCGATGATGCGGCGCTGGTCCTCCAAAGCCGCCTCTCTGATGCCCAAGAACGCGGGTGCCGCGCGGCGGCCGCGCGGCGCGGTGGGCGGTGGGGGGCGCCTCCTGGGCTTCCACGAGGGCGCGGAGCTCCAGCAGCTCCGAGGAGCCTTGGAGCTCTTCCAGCTCCCGAAGCCGCGCCTCCAACTCCGCCACCCGCGCCTGCGGAAAGAGCAAAAGCGCACTCGGGCCGCACTCGGCGCTTCCTTCGCACCCGGCCTTCAGGGCCACGTTTTCCTCCATGGCTTCTCTCTGAGCCGAGTCTGCTCTGCAAAAAGCCCTTCATAACTGCAAGAAGCCAAGCAGAGCAAGTTGCAACTTTCCGGAATGCAGCGAGGGCTCCAAGTGCAACTCCCTTTTTTCGGCGCCGGGCAAGAGCTCGGTATGTCCGCTCGGCTCAGAGCCTTCCTTTGCCTGGCCACGCTCGATATCTCTCTCCCCTTTGCGCAGCGACCTCGGCCGCCTGTTTTGGGCTCGGAGGGCTTGTACACGGGCTTCGGCTTGTTAGCTCCGAGACGACCTGGAATCGTCGCCTCAAAGACTCCAAGGCGCTTTTGCTGCACGGCGCGCTTTCCGGGCTCCTGGCCATCCTCTCTCTCCTCTCGTCGTCGGTGACGAGCCTCCGCGGCTTCGGCTCGCTTCCCCCTCGCTTTCGGATCTTTGCCGAGCCCGGCACGGTGACATCCGCCCGTCAGGATAGAAGCGCTTCTGGTTCAACTCCTCGGCTGAAGCGAGAGAGCAGAGCGGTGAGTCCGCCTCGTCGGGTCCAAGGAGCGTAGTAGTCCACGTGAGGCTGGGAGAGCACGAACTCTTTGATCTTGATGTTCTGGGCTGGGATCTTGTTCCTGGCACACGTGCTACAAAAACCTCAGCATACTCCGCAGGATGCCACGGCCACACGATCAAGATGGAGCCCGGATCGGTGTCGTAGATCTGCGCCGAAACTCCTGCAGAGTCACTGGACCGTCACCAACAGCTCGGGGATGTGAAACTTGACCGAAGCTACAACAGCTACGAGCGGATTCGTTGCTCTCGGCCCCATGCCATCGCAGCTACGTGCTCGATTTCCCAGGCTTGCTGCTGTGCTGCGTGCTGGCGGCACGTGTGGGTGCTGGCTGGCACGTGCTCCTGCTATCTCTTCTACTCGAGGGGCACCTCTCAAGCTGTACAAGCCTCAAACTCTCACACGAGGATGGCAAGCGACCGCTAAGCTTGATTTCACAAGCTCGAACAGCGTGTTGCTAGCGGTCCTTCTATGTGGTTTATGACACTCTTTCTGCACGGAGTTGACTGGGAAGCCCCTGGTTTCGAAGCAGAGCTCCCAGAGCTGTGCCCGGCCCGGCATCCTCCATTCTCCAGAAGGCTCGTCCAGCTTCTAGCAAGGCTTGTGGTCTCATGCTTGCCATGCTCCATGGCCTCAGAAACTTCTGGATCGTCGCAACCAACATCTACTTCATCAGTACAGGCAGGGCACCCACTTCACGTCCAATTGCACAAAGGCCATGCTGACACCGCTGCTGCCTGATGACATGAAGGATGCCGGGTCTCGCTTGAAGTCCTGCGTGGCTTGCAGCAAGCCACGGTGGCATCAAGCCCGAGCAAGGACAGGCAAACGTCGTCCTCTGAATTGGAATCAATCTTCGGCTTGTTCTTTTGTTCTCGCACTTCCTTAACATGCTCCACGAAGGGCTTGGGGACATCCACCTGCGCTAAGACGATTCCGTGTGATCTCATTCGCGCTTGGAACGACTACCATCGACAACTTGACAGGCCCTCTGATTGGAAAATACAGACCTGCATGAACGCTGCAATGCTGGTTCCACTCGCAGTGCATCGGCAGTCAGCTTCAGAGAGCACACTGTGCCCTGACCGACGCCTCCATGTCATCCAGGTCTCCTACGTCGAGGTCCCGGATGTCAGCCTCCGGCACTCAGAGCATACGCCTTTCGTCACGACGGTGGAACCCTGGCCTTGGCATCCAGAATCTGGTATCTCGGAGCAGTGTAGCTTCCAGTCACGCCAACAAGGCCACCGATGGCCAGGAGCCACGATTTTCGAAGCATGGCAGTGTTAGGATAGCCTCCGGTCTGTGTGTCAGCTTTCTTACGATGTTGGCGAGCTGCCGAAGCCGCTACGGATAACTACAGCTGCTGCTTCGTGCTGGGATGTGTCAGACAGCTGGTGGCTAGCAAAGGCTCCTGTGTTGACAAGGTTGAGCAGCTTTCTGCCTGGGATGCTCTGAGCATCGAGCCACGCTGCTAAGCGCTGCTGCCAGGAGCGCTGCAAGCTTCGCATGACTCCAGAGCTAAAGCAAGCAGCCAGGCTTTTCATGCATACGAGCAATGGCTTTCCACGGGCCCTTAAGGGCACCGCAGGAGCATAATTGAACATTGCCCTCGTTGCTCTCTGTACATGGTGAGACCTGTGTGACACAATGTCTGCCCACGCTTGACGCATCTCCTGTATTCAGGAGTCACTGCGTGCGGCAGAGAACTCAGAAGTCTGCCGAGCTGCGGAGCCAGAAGAATCGTGGCTCTCACTCACCCCGCAGTTGCCGAATCATGGACTGCCAGTTCTTTTCGCCAGCCTGAAGAAAGCTCGCAGCCACTTCGGCTGCTCACGATCCAACGCAAGCCAGCGTGCCTCTTCTTTGGCTTCTCTTGCCGACATCTCTGCATTCCACCGGGAAACCTCTGCTGTAAACTGCTTCTTGTAGCGCTCATAGAACTGAAGTCGGCCTCAAGACATCAAGCACGCACTGTCATGTCACCGCCGTGGCCTACCACGAGGTGAGGTTGTGGCCATCAACGATGCTTCGGTGAACCGGCCTCGGACTCAGAACAGTTGGACTGTTCCTGTTGGTACTGTGTCGAGGAAGCTCTCTGTGCAAGCAAGAAACGACCGAAAAGAACTCATCGGTTCGGTGAGCTCTTGCACCTTCTGCTCGTCGATGGTCTCCTCCTCCATGAGAACTGGGTCTGCCGGCCAGCCACCGCCACAGAGCAATGCCCGCAGCTCGTACTTGGGAAGGCCGATCCACTTCCTCTCTGGCAAACCACTGGGCGGCTTTTCCTCGGCCGCGGCCGCGGCGGCCTTTGGCTCCGCTTTGCCCTTGGCCGCTGCCTTCGGGTTCGGGGCCTCTGGGACCTTCTCCTCGGCATTCAGGCGCCGCAGCCGGCGCTTGATGGACATGCGCGGAGGCTCCACCTTGCAGGGCAGTGACAGCCCGAATCTGCATGAAGAGTCTACGCGAGTCTGCGCTGCTCTCACCTTCTCGTCTCCCGGCAAGGCCCCGAAGTGACTGTGGAGCGGCAGGAGGTCAAGAAGTCGTATGGACACTTCAGCGATGTTGGTCAGACGGCCTGTATCCAACACGCGACTCCCATACAGCCACGTCGGCACATAACTGGCAAATCCGACTGACACTGCACTCGAGTAGGATGCAGTTTGGCCACACTTGTGAGTGGATGTTCTCTAAGTCTAAGTCTACAGGAATGTGCGGGGTGGTCGCAGCATTTCTGAAAGCACATCGACGGACGAGCACAGCTGCCCCGCCTACGAAATGATCGCATGCAGCCCGTAGTGACGCAGCCATCCTTTCCCGGTCCTACAACAGGTGCGAGTGCGAAATGCGCAGAATCAGAAGCAAGACTTTCAGCGCTGTCCTCTTTGCAGGTCTGCAAAGCATCCGCATGACGCTGTGCTTCTGCATCGACCAGTTCTTGAAGTTCAGTCTCTTTGTTGGCGTCGGCCAAGCGTGGATTCAGGCCTCCAGCCAGACGTGCCGTACACGCACAAGGCTCCAGGACTCTTGGGTCACCAGCGCTGCTCATGGATTGCCCTTTTTCTGCCAAACTCCTTCCAGGTCTGCACGGTCCTTAGCTCGACTGAACTCCTCACGGAGCTGGTCACGGTCACGGCTAGGATGCTTCTGGGATGCGCTTCGTGCGCGTCCCGCGTGGACTTCGTGAGCTCGGCAAGCGCCCTCTCAGTGAGCTCCAGGAAGAGCTTCTCCCCCAACCCCAGGAGCCTCGGCGGGAGGCACTCCTTCTATCCTCGTCTCTCTTTCTTTCTTTCGCCAGGGGCTATCTTCGTCTCTCTCTGTCTCCCTCTCCCGCTCTCTCTCGCGCGCGTTCTCTCGCTCTCTCTCTCTTGCTTGCTTGCTTGCTTGCTTGCTTGCAGGGCGTTTGGAGGGGGCAAAGGTTCCCCACCCCCAGCGCTCCAGCGCTACGCCTGTGTTCGTGTCCGGTCGGTTGAGTGAGACGCGACTGTACCCCCAACCCTCGCACAGCCCTGATGGTCCCGCCTCTGGCCTTGTAGACGAAGGGCTCTGTGCGAGTGTTGATGGTTACCGTCGAAAGCTGCCCCCATCGTTGCGGGGAGTACTGTACTGTCTGTGGTCTTCACAGTGTTGCTCTCTCTCTCTCTCTCTCTCCCTACCAGGACAGAGGGCACGAGCGGACGCCCGAACCCTCGCGGGCGAGCGCGCACCTGCAAGTTACAGGTTTTCACGGTCCCCACTGAAGCTTTGCCCCAGCAGGCAAACACAAAAGCAGCTGAGGCCCCGGCCCGGTTGCCTACACTGGACCCGTTTTCGGCACTACAGGCTGCGGTGGAGAAGTACCCCCCAGCCGGTCGCTGCCACAAAACTCAGAGCTGCTGTGCAAACAACCACGGTTGCGATGTAACACTGCGGAACGGCAGCAGCTGCCCGAGGACCATGGTGGAACAAACAAGTACAGTGTAGGGCCCCTTCGGTGGCAGGTAACGGTCAGGCCTTCTTACTCTAGGGCTACAGCTCCTCACTCCCCAGCAGAAGACCAGACCTAAACCACTGTTGCATGACGTAGTGGCCTATAGACGGGTTTCCTCTGCGGAGTCACTTGGAGCGAAGCTACCCCGAAAGGAGCAATCCCCTCTGTCTCTCTCTCTCTCTCTCTCTCTCTCTCTCTCTCTCTCCTCTTAGAGCAGGAGGCCCCGGCGTTTCCTCTCGGAGCTCATCGCCCCAGGTCCGCAAGCCTCTGGAGGCTTCCTGCCTGGCATGCCTCAAGGTCTCATCGAAGTCGTGACTCAGGCTATCTTTGGGAAGCATTGCCATGCTGGATAGAAGCTGAGACCACCACTCGCACGACACCTGCATGTCCGAGAGGAACTTCTGCATGAAATCGGGAGTGCCACCAGCCTGTATGCTTCTGCCGAGAGTATTCATTTCGGTGCCATGTCTCACGCAAACAACGGATGCGAGCAGGCTTTCCACTTTTTGCAATCGGGTTTGCGGTTTGCGGGTCTCGTGTTTGCCCTGTGGTCACTGTTACATGGTGATGGCAGCAATGCGGGTGCCCAAGCACCAAACTATGGGGCACAACTGGGCAAGAGCTCTGCATGGACGACTCTGCAGAGCAGTGGGTCTCCACTTCCACCAAAAATTGTTGCCACCGACTTGTAGGGTCGTGCCATCTACAACACCAAAGACACTGACGATGTCATCAAGGGCCAGACACTGAGAGAGAGGGTGAGAGAGAGTATGTACAAGTTTCTTTGTGCAAGACATGCTCCACACAGCCTAGAACTCGCCAATCACATCTTCCGGGGTGATCTCTGCCAGTTGCTTAGGTGCAAAGTTGATCTTGCTGTCCGGATTCAGGGTGTAGAGGTCGCTGGTGTACTTTCGGATGTCGTCCATCTCTGCAAATTTACGCTTGTTCTCCCGGATCATGTTGAAGCGCTGCATGAAGGCATCCCCGCTCATCATCTTTTGACGCATGGCGGACTCAACACCGTCGCCTTGCAATCGAACGCCTCCCAGCGCAAACGTGATCACTCCCATGATCATCAAGCTGGCAAAGCACGAGAAGAAAACCATGGCATATGTGATTTGGATCCTGGTCGGGTTGGTGATCATCTCCTTCGTCTCCTCGAACCAGCGATTGATGCGATAGCTCAACGTGGTCGTCTTCGCCTTTCCACCCCGAGCCCGGCTCATCATCATCATGTCCAGGTCGGTGTCCTCTTCCAGCGACAAGCCGCCTTCAGGAAAAGCAAACAGGAAGCTATAACCGCGACGACTTCCCCGGACAAACAAAACATGGAAGCTACGTCAGGTCGCCAAGGCGTACACGGATCCTGAAAAAACTCGCAGGCTATGCATGTCACCTGCCCAGGCCCAAACCCTAAAACAAGGGCCGGCAGCAAAACCGCTGTGCAAGAAAAGAGTCATCAACCTAACCCCTGAGAAAGATGGAGAAGCTAAACCGTCTACACATTCGAAGAAACCACAGAAACACGGGCTACTGTCCATTATCATGAAGCAGTCGTCTTCACGCATTCTGTCTGCTTTCAAGTTGCGGAGCTCGTCTTCCAAGGAGACGCGAGCCACCGCAGTTGATCGCTTGCTTTTGCGCTCGATTGATGTTGCAAAATTGTCTGCCTCGGTGAGGATGTCGTCAAAGGAAGCCTTCTTTCGGCTTTCGGGCTCTGATGGCTCCGACTTGTCCGAGTCGGACGAGTCGGAGTCTGACAGGTCGGAATCGTCCACGACGGGTGTCACTCCTTTCGCGGCCCGAAGAGACACGGAGGGCCCGGACGGCGCACGCTGAGACCGTGGGGCCACGAAGCAGAGCTGGCACACGTAGAGGCCCAAGAGGCAGACGACGAGCAAGCTTCTGCGACCACCTTGTCTCAAGCCCACGAATGGCCTGCGAGCAAACTAGGGTTCAGGCTCACCTGTTCCAGCCCACTGTGAGAGGCTACCAGCATTATTTAGCTGCATTCAGTGCTCTGTCAGCTTGGCTACAGTATTACATGATCAAAGCATTCGGGCCTTCCAGTCATGGCTCGCGTCGGAAAACTGGCTTCTCCTATGCCCTATGCGCCCTGCGCTTTGACTGAGCCAGGAGAGTTGCACATCCACACGAGGACAGGACCGTGCAGGCGAGTCCAGAAACTGTGCAGACACTGCCGCAAGCGATATCGGGCCTGACCAGCGTAAGCCTCATTAGACGACTTGATGACGGATTGGATTTCGTTGTTGAATCTCTCGCTCTTCATGAGAGGCCCGAGCACCTCACGAGGCCCAGTAGAGAGCACACATACGCAGGCAATCACAAGCGGCACTCGCGCACGACAGTGTCGCACAAAAAGGTGAAGTGGCACCCGAAGCAATGAGTCGTCTCTCAACGCCTGCGATGCCTCGCGCAAGACTTCACAAGTTTCACTTCGTCAAGCAGCGTAGTCTGGCCTCCATTGATCGAGACAGCTGCACAGCATGCTGTGCTTCCTCTCTCTGCTCGACCGGCACTGCGTCACTCCTGGCTCCCATTCTCGAAACCCGCAGTGTGATGTGACATGCCGGGAGCCGCGCAAGTCTTTCGCTTCCTCGGCTTTGCGGTGGACCTCCATGAAGGCTTTTGTCTGAGCCGATCCGTGCAAGAGAATCAAACTGTGAGCCTCCTTCTGCTCCTCTGCAGACGGCAAGAAACACATGTCCTCCCTCAAGATGGAAAGGCTTGGAACTGCCTAGGAAGCCACGTTGTATTCACATTGCCCTTTGCAAAGCTTAGTGTCTATACTAGTAGCTCAATCCAAACTCTGAGGGCGCTACTGCCAACTCGTACTTGGAAGCCTCAGAGCAAAACAAACATCAGCTTGCTTGCACTCTTTGGAGGCGCCTCAGACGACTCAGACGACTCAGAGAGTGACACTGCTTTCCCGGAAGGCACCCAAGTGGCTGCCGAGCTCTGCCATGGCGCAGACCTGTCAGCGCATCAAAGCCGTTTTTTTACAGCCTGCGCCATATGCCAAATGGTGCAGCAGCACCGGGCCGCGGACGGCAACGTACAGAATGCCCAACAACTCACCGGTGAACGTCCAGGGCCTCAATGTGCTGGACTTCTCTGCACTCTGGGGCAAACTCGTCTTGCCCGCATCACCATGCATAATTGAGAAGAGCACTCGCCACCACGTGAGAAGAAGTGCCTCCACAAAACTTGGCAAAGCATCTGCTACACGACTGTGAACAAATCACACACGGAGTAGAGGCGCCTCACGCTCATGATGCGAGGAACCTTGGGCATGGCTGTCACCTCGTATCCTGGGCAAACGCACGGAAAGGATAAGAAGCCAGGCAATCTTGGCAATGGCCTCCCTCCTCCGGAGGAGGCAGCATTAAGAGCTGCGATACCTGAAAACCACACATGAGGCGGAGGGCGTAGAGCAAACGCAGCAACTCCTACAGTAGCCGCTAGCCAAGCTGCATAGTCCAGAAGCAACTGGATGTTGGAGCGAACCGTGGAGGCCCTTGCAATGAGCGTGCCTGGCACAACAGTTCGGAGTCCAACTTCGTCACCCGGCCAGCTCCAATCACAGGCCGGGCAATCGTACACGCTCCTGGGCTTTCCGCCGCGGCTCGCCGTACTTCCGCCCAAAGCCTTTGCCTGGCTGCGGAAAACTGGAGACACCTGTCTCGTGCAATCTAGCAGCGGAAGCATGCTAGATCATGCTAGGCTGAAATCATGAAGGACTCGCTGGCACAGAGGGTCTCAACAGCAGTGGCGTAGGCCACCGCAAAAGCATCCATGGGCACCTCCGAAAGCACCCCTTAACAGATGCGCATGGCAGCCTTTCTTCGAGGCCCCGGCTTTGCATTTCTCCTGGATCTGGCTTTCCAGCTCCTGCGCCTCGGTGAAGGAACGCGTAAGGCGAGACAACGGGGTTTGCTCTTGGCCGGAGACCCGCTGCGCCCTCTCTTGCTTGCGTTCATCCAGTGTCTGGTTGAGCTCTTCAATCTGCAGACACAAAACGAAAGCTTTCTGAGCAAGCCTCACCACTCGCGGCACGCCTCCCCTCCATAATACACGATCTCCGGCTCGCTGTACTGCTCCTCACCCTTTTGGCACATCATCAGAAAGGCCTGGTTCTCCTTCTGCAGTCCCTGTCACAGCTTGAACAAAGGTCCCGCGTCATGCTTTGTCTTGCACCTACAGAACTCCATGCATTAGCCAAAGTTACTCAACGTTCTTATGAGCGGCCGCCGTGTCCCGAAAGGTGCCAATTCACCATGGAACTTAAAACACTGAAATTCGTTCCCACGTCTTCTTCTTCTTGAGAGCTTGTGAATAGCTTTTCTTCGTCGCAGCGGGCGCTCCGCACGGAATGTGCACAACTGACGCAACGTCACTCAAGAGGTTCCCTGTTCATGCATGTGCTGACACACGCTCATACCCACTCGAACTTCCCGACAAGGAGTCTGGCCTTTTGCACCGCCATGCACCAACCCCAATTCAGCCCTTCCCTCCACTGAACGAAACGGCCTGCGCCCCCTTTTTTGTGCAGTGGGCAGCTTTGCCTTTTCTTGTCGCCAGCTCCAGCTCTCAGGTGCCCGCTCTATCGCCGTCCCCAAAACCTTTTCCCGAGCCCAGCCCTACTGGTAGAAGCCTCCCCGGGCCTGCGGAGCTTTGGAGCTGAGCTCCAGGAGCCTTCCCTGGACCGTCGTCTGGCAGAGCTCCCGGAAGCGAACCATGCAATCCACCACCTGCAGCGCGTGAACACGCAATGGAAAGCAAGAAGAGCTTAGGAGCGCTCTCTCCTCTCACCTGCCGCTCCATGGAAGTCAGCACTGGCAGGGTCTCGGCCTCAGACAAAAGGAGCTCTGCGAAAAGGCCGGCTACGGAGCGTCTCTTGGCCCTCGGCATCGCCCAAACCTTCCTGAATCTTGGCGACACGCTGCTTGTACCTGAAGCGGGTGGCGTGGCCGCCACGAGAGCTGTCCAATAAAGCCCGACATCTGACGGCTAAGCTCCGAGCTGTTCTTCTGCTTCATCGATCTTTTGAAGTGCAAATTCAACCGCATCATCTTGCTCTTGGCACTTCTGTGCCACCGCCACCAGATGTCTTTCGAACTTGTCCTGCGCAAAGATCCTTTCCCGAATGCCTTGCTGGGAATCTAACCCGGATCCATCTCATGCACATGTCGCTTATGGATGCACGCCGTCATCGGATGTCGCTTAGTGGCCTTATCCTAGGGTCCTAGAAACGTGGTTGCAGAGCTGGCGGCGTCCTTGTGCTTGGACACAGTGCTGTAGCGCGGCACATACCAATCCACCTGCGGCACACCCTACACCCTGAGCTCAAGCCGCAAGCAATCGCAAGCAATCGCAAGCATGCGCAAGTCGGCCCGGCCAACCCGCGCCTGCACTTCGCCCTTTCGGTTGGTGTGCCGGCGAAGTCGTTGGTCTAGATCACGACGCACCTCTTCACAGGCTGCTGGGATGTCCACACGGTCCAGGTAGCGCTTTTGACCGACAAGGTTTTCGAAGATGGCGCTTCGCAGTGATGAGAGGTTCTCCTCGAACCAGTCGTTGTCGAAAGCCAAGGTGTCCAGGGCTTCCGTGCCGTCTGCAAACTTCGGCTCCTCAAGGACCTCCGACTCGCCTTCCGGGCCATCCGCTTCCGCGGCCGGCGTCTCCTCTTGCTGGCCCTGGCTCTCTGGTGGCTGCAAGATCTGCTGTCGAAGATCCTCAAGGACCCACTTCTCCAGCACCTTGCAGCCTGTGCCTTCTCCAAGCGGCCAGCTGCTCTTCTCTTCCAGCCCAGCAAAGCTTTGGGCCTCTTCTTCCAGCGCGGCAGCCTCCTTCGCCTCTGCAGCCTGCCAGAAGGCTCAATGTTGTACTTGTGACTTCATGCGACTTCTACCATGCGATCTGCTTACGAGGTGCGCTCTTGCTTTTTTGTGCCCATCGCCTGATGCACTTCTGCCTTGGCCGCTTCCACCGCAGCCGCCAAGGCCTCCAAGCGCGTGGCCTTGGCCGCCTCGTCTTCATCGGGCACCGCGGGAAACGCCGCCTTCCACAAGGACGGAACTCTCATGGACTCAGCAGAATGTCGCAGAGAGGGGGGGAGAGGTCTTCTGAGCCGGGGCGGGTCGATGACCGAAAGGGCGGCCTTCGCCTTGTTGACGGCGTCCTCCTCCAAGGAAGCCGCCTGCGCCTTCCGCTCGGCGGCCAAGGCCGGAGCGTCTTCGCTTGGATCCAAGGCCAAGCCAAGGTCCTAGCAGAAGCCCTCGATCTGCTCTCCTTCTGCTCCTTTTTGCTTTTTGCTCTCTCTCTCCCTCCCTCTCTCTCGCCCCCGGGCCGTCCTTGCAGTAACCGCGAGTTTCTCTGCGAATCAAATCCTGCGCCTCACCTGGGTAGCGGTTGTGGATTTGCAGCATCTGGTCCGCGTGGTCTCGGTAGCCCACGGCCATTTGGTCCAGATGGTCGAAGGTCTGCTGCTTCAATTCATCCAAGGTTTCGTGATGTGCCGCATCATCGATCGCGCCGTGAAGGTCTTGCATTGTCTTTTCGTTCCTTTCACAAGTCTCCTCAAAGTCCTTTTCGCAATCCTCTACCTCGCCGTTGTAGTTCACCTCGAACTCTTCCACTCTCTTCTTCAGAAGCTCTTGCTTACGAGCCAATCCGAGGAAGAAGGTGATGACCGAAGTGACAGACTGGTGCAGTGCCTGCGTGCGATTCGAAGACACGGCTGAAGTTGCACGGCTGGTCACTCTCCGCCTCCTCTTGCTGTGTCAGCTTGTTGGACAGGGCGTGCAAGAGTGCCGCAACCTGCAAAGCAGCCGAAAAAAAAGGCCGCTGATACGACATCCAGAGCGTACGATCCAGAGGACGAAAGAGCTGCCCGGCCTGATCCAGGCACTCACGCAATGGCGGTCTGACCTCCAGGAAAGCGGCACTTGTGACAAGGATAACACGATGACGATATGCATTCGCAGCCACTCCTCGGCGTCGATGAGGTTGGCCACAGAATCATGGCCCTTCCACTCCTGGAGCAGTCAGCATGCAAAGGCTGTGGCCACAGTAGAATCTTTGGTGGTCAGACACAGACAGGCTCGTGTCAAGGCCGGGCCCGGAGAATGGAGTTCTCTGCACACGATGCCTGTGTCCAGCATTCTTTTTCCAAGTTTGCACAGAAGACCTGAACAACTGTCCGATCACAGCTGGGATCATTAACGGCATTCCAAAGCAAGGGTTCGCGCTTGCGAAATGCGCATTCGGAATCGTGTTGTCCGAGTACAAAGCATGGGTACATGAGGGAGGTACTTATTTCTGCTTGCCTTGCCTGCAGAAGCATCAGCATCTCAACAGGACACTTTTTCCAGAGCTCCCATGTGCTTGGCTGTTCACAGACTTTGAGTGGGCCGGGCTGAGCTGGTCCTGTCTGGCATCATGCAGCTCGAGTTCCAGCCCAAGCTCCCCAAGCATCTGTTCTGCTGAGACCTCAGAAGCACTGAGATCTTCAAAGGGACGCTCCGAACTCACAGAACTGCGAAAGAGCTCTCGGCGTTCAGAGCTTCTCTGAGCTCCCTGAGCTCCACCAGCAACGTGTCAAAGGTCTCTTGGGCTCGATCCTAGGTCCAATCCAGAACACCCAGACCTCTCCCTTCGAATGCCATGCGCCCAGTCACATTGAGCTGCGTGTTTTGCTCCTCTGTGTGCCGCACAAGAGCCTCGGGTTGACAGCATGCACCGTTCCAGACCAGTCTTCTGTGCTCAGGAGAGCAACTACCACCAGTCGATGCTGTGGGATTGCGAAGAGCCTGAGCAGCTTCGACATGCTTCGACTGCGACACAACAAGGGCATGAAAGCTCTCTCGGGAACCCACTCATCGATAAGATCTTTCCGCTGTCGGAAGACGAAAGCCTGGTGTTCACGTACTTTTCCGACGGCCTGGCAAAACCAATGCTCTGCACGCTACTGCTGGAAACTAATGCTCACCCCGAGGCATGCCTCAACCAAGGACTCAGGCTGTCTGAACTCAGTGCCTAGGTTTCAAGGCTGCAACAGAGCCTCGGCAAAAGCCCAAAGCCGCTCCGAGGTCCCCACTCTTGATGCGGCGCATGACGACAGCCATGCTGTGCCGGTGCCTCTGCCGCAGTGCGCTTGTCACTCTCCGGAAATACAACGACTCTCTTCGAGCCTCGACCAAAAAACGATACGAGGCAAGACCCCTTCTGAGATCTTGACCTTTGCTGCTTCCAAAGTAGCAATCCTTTGTGCCACCGCACCTGGAGTTCAGATGCATGGTGCAGACAGAATGGCCTCCTGCTGCATCCCACAGTCCACGCCTTGTATTCTTTGCTATGCTCCAGCGTCTGGACCTTGCGGGCGACATGTCTCGACTCTGGAACAACTAACACAGCGAGTTTTTTTGAGTTTTCGGCCGTAAGCTTGGCACCCAGTTGTTGCATGGCTTTCCTGTGCCAGGGAAAAGGCCCAAAGGCCACCGTCCAAGCAACTGCAGGGCTTGTGCTGATCCGCAGTGTTGTAGGGTAATGTAGGGCAATGACCGGTTTTCGAGCAAGATCTCGTTGAAGGAGAGGGCCTTCGCAGTCCGGCTGTACCGCGCACTGATCCTACCAGCAGCAAAAGCAGCGTAGCTGAGGCTTCGAACACGCTCTTCGATCAATCGCTCAGCTTCACCATGAACAACATGAGCCGCAGCTGTCAAAGCCTTACAGGTCTGTAGGGCTTCCACATGGTGAATGCGGCGAGTAGTACATCTCTTGAGAACGTAGGGATGGCTGTGTCGCGCTGCCTCTACCAGTGTTTTGAGGAGTTCCTCCACGCTGGACTTCCGCAGATCGTCGATGCGAGCCAGCTCGCCGCTGGGTCCCGCAAACTCCTCGATGCGACGCCGTCGGAGAAGAGTCGCGGCCTCCAAGGTGAGAGGGGAGCGCGAACCCCTAACTAAGATATACTCAGATGCTCAGATGCTCTGAGATTCTCTGTCACACATCGGACACAACGCGGAGAGACGGTGCGGCCCGTGCGGCGGACCTCCAAGGCCGAGAGGATGCCCCTCACCTCGCCCTCCGTGCGCTCGCCCAAAGCCCGCAGGGCCTTGCGTGCGGCGTTCTCGGCAGCGACCGCCTTGGCTTTCGCCGGATCGATGGTACCGTCCATGGGGAGATCCTCAAGTTCGTCCAGCAGCTTAGCCTCATCCTCCTCTGCCTCTTCACCCTCCGCTTTTGGCGGGAGAGGTGGCGGCTCCAGAGGCTCCAAGATCGCGTGGCAGTCCACTGTACTCGCTTCCAAGTCTCTTTTGATTCGCTCGGTCGCTGCCTCTACTTCTCGTTGGCAGTCTTCGGCCAGGGCGTCCATGGCTTGGTCGAACTCTGCCAGCGCCACATCGTGTCGTGCCTTTCGACTGGCAAGAAACTGCTTCTGTCGTTCCAGACGTTTTTCCCTGAAAGCCCCTGCTTCATTGCCCACATTGACAATAGGAATGCAGCCGCCCCGGAGATCGCCGATGTCCAGAGCAGCAGCACCCGTCATCGGGGCCGGGACTCCTGCAGCTCCGTGGTGGAACACCGCATCTCGCCTCCTGAGAGATGCAGACATAGGACTCACCGACTCAGAAACCGACAATCCGAGTCTTGCCTAGAACACTAGCATGGGAACAGCGATCTGGCTGAGACCGGTTCAGTTCTCCGCGCAGAATCTCGGGAGCTGCAATTGCTTCTAGAGGAGGTTGCTCTCGACGATGAGCTTCTTCTACATAAGCCAACTGCTGCTGCCTCGTGAGCTTACACTTGCCAAGATAAGCATCAAACACGGACAACTTTCCGGGGCAAGTGCTTCTTCTTCAGGTAGGCCGCCTGATCATGTGCAGATTCCGTGATGGTCTCTCTTGCGGCCCTTTCACTCTGGCTCTGCCTGGCCGTTTGCACTGGAGAGCCGCTCGGCTTGCAAGGCTTCTGAGAGTTTCTGGCTAGCGCAGAAGGATTGCACGAAGCCCGGCGATGGAAGGTCGCTGGCATCCAACCTTTCTGAGAATCTATGTTGGACATGGGAAACCCCTACAGGTGTTGACACGCTGAGCCGCTAAGCACCCGGCAACGTGCGCTGCACATGCTTACCCTTCCTGCTAACTTTCGCAGGTGGGCGCGGCGGCGGAAGCATTGTCATCCTTTGTTTAGAATCCTTTCTGGGCTCGTGGCTGGGATCTAGAAAAAAAGTCTGCAGCCTATAGCCTATAGGTCCATAGGTTTTTGCTGGGACAGATTGTCTGTGATTTCATCGAGCCTCACAGAGTTGGCGAAGCAGTGACACACGGCCGTCACCGAGACTCCCACGGCTCGCAAGGCGTGCGGCTGTTTTCCCCGATGCATAACACTCTGGCGCTTTCAGCTCAGCTGAGCTCGACCAGGCTTATGACCTCACATGCTGAAGCACGGATCCCAGCCGCAGAGCACGGGATGAACCGGACAAAAGACTTGACAGCGAGGGACAAAGACGCTCCCAGTCGAAGAAACTTGAGGTTCAACCGGAAATCGTGCAACTTGCAACCAAAGGGACGCGTCCCAACTCTGCAGCCTCACTGCGCAACCTGCACTTCACAGGGTTCGAATCTCGATTAGCATCACAAGTCATAAGCACAGGTGAACATGGCAGTCCGACCCTCCAGCTTGGAGGTTGCTTGAAGACCCTCTCGATGCTGCCGCACAGCAAACTATGCAAAGGTCCTTGCGGAGCGATTCTGCTGTTCCGCAGACAACCGACACAGCACTTTGCAAAGCTCCTGTACTGTACATAGCATACCCGGCTGTACGGCTCAAAGGTAATCCTGCCTAGGATGCCGGGGTAGCAACATGCAGCCAACTACTCTTACGTACTGCGCCAGGGTGGGAAAAAGGGCGGGTGGGAGGTGCACAGAGAGAGAAAGAGAGAGTGAGCGAAGAAAACAAAAGCCGGGAGAGCGACGTAGACGGAGAAAGAAGCCGCATCGTTGAGAGAAGCTGAAGTTCGCATGCGTTTTGCAGGTTTCGTGCTTCGATGTGGCACGCATTAGCTGTTGTTCCGGGGACCCCCCGATCCCTGTGAACAGTCCTAGCATCAAACTGTCACGAGCAGCGCGGGGCCACTGACAATAAGATGAGGATCCAATACGAACGCACACGCTGGAAGGTGACCGCTCGCCTGTGCACGCCACGTTTACCTGGGGCTTGAGACTATGCCTTGCATGTATGAACCTGCATGATGAGCATCATCGTGACATTGATGGCGGCTGGAGTTCCACTCGTCCATCAGCGGTCTTTTCAAAGTTCTCACGACTTCCTGTTACCCCCTTGGAAGGTGGTGCTGGAGCAAGCAATGTGCATCACAGACCGGGCGACATACCCAACCAAACAGCTAAAAGCTCATTGTGAGTAAGAGCCATTTCGTAGGGGGTGACCTCCTCTTTCATTGTGATAGGCGCATCTCTTCCCTGACAGACTTCTGGCTTGGGCCTTGGGGGGATGTTTTGGGCTCGTCGCGTTCTTTTTCGTCTCAGCCGTATCTTTTCTCCTGACAAAGTGTAGGGGTTGGGATTTCGGATTTTTTGCTGGGTTTGGGGTTTGGGGTTAAAACTCTTTAAGTCTGTGGCACCTTGTTTCGTCCACCTTTCTGCCAGGAGTTTACTATGCGACAAAGCCATGCATGTAGTTGCAGCTCTACTGTCAGAAGACATCTGAAAGTAAATGCAGCTGGGCAAAGAGGCAGCAAGATGGGGGAGCTTGGAAGGCGCAGCCAAGCCAATGGTCAGCATGACTCACAATATGTGGAGCTTTGGGTCTAGAAGTTGTGGTTGGTTCACGGATAATCAGGCTGCACTTGTCGTGTTTCGGGTTTGGGGCCTTCCAAGGAACTTGTGCGACTGTTAGCGCACAGCTTTCACTAGTTTAGGGTTGTAAGTTGGAAGGCTCACCAGTTTCGGATCTAGAGACTTTAGCTTGGGGATCCACTCAGGGCTTCGGGCTCAGGGTGTAGGGTGAAAAGCTCAGAGCTTAGGTTGGGGGGGTTTGGGCCTTCGGGCTTGGGGTTCAGAGCTTGGGGCTGTGGGCCAAGAACCAAAGAAACAAAAAGAAGACACAGTTGACAAGGAAAGCAAACACAGCTAACCCAAAAACTGACAAGTTACAGAGACAATCCCACGACTTCCCCGAACGCTGTAGGCGCCAGGAGAACAAAAGACACAGACACCACAGACAAAGGCACAGTCGAGAGGCAGCAAAGACGAGTTGACGTGCTTGCCCTGAGGGAAGGCTTTACACTGCGAGCGTTAAATGCGGGGTGCTTCTGTGGATCCTTGGTGTGCTTTTCGTGTGGGTTCGCTTCACCACTTGGTATCCGAGATGGTAGCAACGAAAGCTTTCGTCGTGAATCGATTTCGTCGGGGCTCAAAGCTTCCAAGGCGTTCGGTAGCATTGCGACCGTTTCTGGATACTCCAGGGAAAGTCCCGTCAACACTGTGAAGTCATACTCTCGTCGTGAGCAAGTCTGTATTCCGTAGTATCATCGGGGTACTACATTGGCTGCTGTCGCCGTCGCGTATGGGCAGACACGTGGCCAGGTTCCATCCCACCCGTCTTGCAGAATCGTGAAAGGAGCTCTGTGACCAATGCACTTCTGAGGGCGACATTACGGACGTGCGCCGGCCCGAACAGCTTCGCTTCCCCTGGCCCTGAGATGGAGGCTGATATGCCTCCCAGCGTTCCGAATCGACAAGCAGGTCCACCTGCGCAACCCAGCCAAGTCAAGCCAGAATTTAAGCCTAGGCCGTCTGCAAGCACTACGGAGTGCCACCGGATCCAAAATCCGTAGTGGAGTCGTTGGGTTCTGACCTCGAGAGGCTGCTCAACAGCAGCAACATCAGGAGCTGCCCTGAATTCGGCCGCGTGCAGCTATATCCGGAATGAGGATTTGCATGGTACCTGCCACAAGTATTCGAAAATGGATACACATACTATTCTCCGGAGCGAGAGCGAGCAAACATGCAATGAGAAGAAATGATGAAGCAGCGGATCGGTCACGTTTGCAGTTCCGACGGCAAACAGTCTCCAGAAAAGAACCCTGGATGTGTTTCAGAAGCTTGAGACAACCCTGTGGAAGTCGCCATATACGCTCTAGACTCTAAGCTCTTTTCAGCAGGAATGTGTGTCACGAAAGGAGGCTCCTGCGCCGAATAGCTCCAACACAAACCATTGAAGCATCAGAGTAATCCACCAACCCAACCGTTCGGAGGCCGGTACGTAGTCCAAGAAAGTGGCATGGGCGGAACAAAGGCCAAAGCTGCGAGCTCAGACACCTCAACAGATTGAATCGAAATCCAGTGCATGCAGAAGTACTTCAGCAGGCATATTGCTCTCTAAGCCTCCGACACTAGCTTGGCAAGGCATGTCGCTTTCAGGCTGTGCACCAGCCTGCATGCTTTCATGGTCTGGACAGCACGAACTGGCTACAGCTGCTCTCCTGAGATTCCAGAAGCTCTGCTAGAGGAAGTCGCTCTTTCTTGGACGACTCTGGGCCCAGCTTGGGGCTGCGACCGCCCTCGCCTGCAATTCGACTGCATGCCGTGTCAGAGTCTCTTCGAAGTCTGACCTGTTACAGGCCATGCCCCCACCTGCAGGAACCACTTTCGGAGGTGTGCGCGCATCTGGTGTCTGGAACAAGCCGATGAAGCCTTCACGAGCGCTTCTGTAGCAAACAACACAACATGTCGCAACAGCGGTTTGAAGCTTTCAACAGCGCCCTGTGCACCTAATCTCATGTAGCTCTTGCCCCATAGTCACCACACACATGATGCCGCTGCCTTTTTCTCGAACCGGTGTCTTCTGGGGACTGAATGAAGGTCTCGTATCGGCATCATTGCGGCTATATCGATCCAACCTCAAAAACGTCATCACACGACTGTCCTCAGGCGGTCACTTCCCAAATACCTGCCGTAAGGAACCAACCCAGGTGGTGCAAAGGCCAAAGCTGCGAGCTCAGACACCT